GAGGCCAGAGAGCACAAGTGGGGCAGTGTCTGCAACGGGAATCATGCGATGAAGTCTGTGATGATCCAAAGTGCCTTCTGCACAGGTGAAACGCACACAGTCCATGGCACGCTGATCTCTGAAGTTCTTCCTAGTGTAGTGTAGCTTCTGGTTTTACTGTCTTGGAGGAGAGAGGAAGCTCTGGGTGCCCATGTTTGCCCCTTCACCACACTAGACCTTGCTTCCAGGTTAGGAAATCAGTGGGGTAGTCCCACCAGTTATTATGCGTGTCTGTTTCTGACAGGATGGTGTGGTGATTTACTAGGCCAACTGTGGAGCTGACTGGGCCCCTTCAGTCCCCACCTGACCTCCATAAACTGGCAGGCATGCCACACAGGCCACAGCACAGCCCCTGAGACTTCTGGGGCAGCAACCTCTTCTGCAGACACGTACTTTCCTCTTGTGAGCCGACACTTAGCTAGCCTTCTGGGCCTTTGTCTACCCTGAAACACTGCACTTCACCATGGACTCCTGGTGACCATGTACCTTGATCTACCCAGTCCATGGCAGGACACTTCTCCAGTAAGTTACACACAATTACAATGATGAGTTTCTCCACTATGTATGTGCACTTGGACTTGAACTTGTCCAAAAGGCACAAATCCCATAAGCCAACAGTTCAGGGTCTCATGGTATGGCACCCATGCTGCTTGACTGTCTTCTCACCCTCCTCTTGTTCCCATGGTCTCATTAAGAGTTTCCTGTGACTAGTTCCCTGAAGTGAAGAGGAAAGGTGGCAGCAGGAGACCCCACTCAGTGGTACATTGAGTGGGGATAAGACAATCCCAAGACAGTGGGGATAGACAATCCACTAGATGACAGATCTTCCAGTGCCACATCTGGTTGCTCACTTTGCCTGGAAGGAGAGATGGACGTAAGTATGGACAATTGATGATGGTTTGGCTAGATGATCAGGGTCTCGGAAGCAACATCATTGGAAAATTGGTGACAGGTGATATTTTAATGGTTGACAAGGACAAGAAAGAGGGAAGTGGTGAGACTTCTTGGAAGCGTGTGAGGATATTTGTGTCCCAGTGAATGAATGCTGCACTGACAAACACTGCAGGGGATGCTCTCAGTAATGAGGTGAACACGATGACCTGGTGATGGGTATCGGCCTCCCTCCAGCCACTCTGGTCCTGGCTCACTGGTCTCATAAGCAAAGTAGCCATGGCAGCAAGGAGGGAGGTCCTATATGCTTTCAACCCCATAGCCTTCCCTGCACCAAGCCTGATCTGGTTATGGTCCATTGCTCAATGTCCAATATGCTGACAGCAGAGACCAACAGCATTCCTGGTGTGGAAAAAGTATCCAGAAAGAAGAGCCAGCCACCTGGTGTCAGCCTGGTTACACTGGACTCCTAGTTCTCCAGTGCTGCTGTAACAGAAACACTGTAAGTGGGTGGCTTTAACAAACAGACGTTTATTTTCTCCCACTTTAGGAGGCTAGAAGTCTGAATGCAGGGTGCTGGCTCTGGAGGAAGGCTTTGTCTGTGAGCTGCGGAGGCAGGTCCTTGTCTCTCTGAGCTTCTGCTCCCGGGCAATCTTCATGTGCCACAGCATCTCTCTTCCTCCATCTCAGCTTTTCTCCCTTGTTTAGTCTCTTTTATATCTCGAGAGATTGATTTAAGACACACCCTACACTAATAGTTTCTCATTAACATAACAAACACAACCCATTCCCAAACAGGCTTATAACCGCAGACAGAGAGGTTAGGATTTACAACACATATTTTGGGGACACAAGTCAAACCATAACAGACTCCTTCCATTGTAGACGGGGCAGTGACTTCTCACTGAAACTGACCCTCACTCCAGAAACAGATTTCCTTCTTTGCCCACTGTGCCCATCAGCACCACTGTCAAAGGACGTGGAGAAGGTCTAACCGTGATGGCTGCTTACAGCATCACTTCTAGGAGGTTTCATTTTACAGCAGAAGTACAGCATGGAAGTCAATGGCACGTATCAGTCTTAGCATGTACTCCATACGTCAGAGCAGCTAGCCTGGTACTATAGCAGGATGGTCACTCAAAGACTTGATTATGATGTCACCAGGGTGCTATCCAATGACATGTCTCAGGGTCTGAACCATCAGCCAACATGTGGGACACTTTTCCCATGGCCAGAACACACAGGTCCAGCAGCATGTGAAGTGCTTCCCCTCACTACATCCTCCTGATCCACTTCAACACTGTGGATCCTCTCTCATGTTCTGGACTCTGCTGGTTTAGAGGTCTTCATTCCCAAGCAAAGGATACTTCCACAAAGCGGTGGCCATTGAACTGCAAACTGAATCTGCCACCTGGCTACTTTGGACTCCTTATGCCGGTGACCAACAGACAAGGAAGGTTTTGCTATGAGGTGACTGTTCCTGATTAGCCTGAAGGAACAGTGTCACCACAAAAAGGGGACAGGAAGAAGTACATCTGGGAAATCTCTTAGTATTCCCATGACCAGTGATAGTCAAGGAACTGTAGTTACCCCAAAGACAGACTTCTAACAGGAAAGATCTTCCAGGAATGAGGCTTGAGTCAATCTACCAGGTAAGGAACCACAACCAACAGAGGTGAGTGGCTAAGGGCAAAGGAACATGGGATTGGTAGAAGAGGAACTTCCAAATACCAACTTCTGGCAAATCACCAGGTGCAAGAACCAGGTAAATAACAGTTCTGCATGTTGTTCATTGACTAGTGAGTACGTATTTGTGTACAGTGGTCAATCCTTCTTTGTCCCTTCCTGTTCCACTACTGATGTTCATCATGGTTGACCCAATGAACATCATCTAAGGTGGACCACACCAGAAGGAGGTTGGAATGCTTCATAAAAGGAAAGAGTATCTCCCAAAGATTGGTATACTGGCATGGAGCTGTGGGGGCTTTGTGTCTCCACTTCGGGAGAGGATGAGGATACCCTCAATCGTACTAGAGAAAGTGCACTGTGTTAGGCTGGGTACAATGCTTTTATTGTCCTTGTCTACAAGCTAGTTTAAAAGGAGAAAGGTGTGTGTGTGTGTGGGGGGTGATGAGTTGTCAAAGGATGGATGGACTGTGCTGTGTGATTGTCATATGCCACCCCCCTCCTCTACATGGACCTCTGGTCATAGAGAAGCTAGAACTGCACACTCAGCTTGTCATTCCTTGTTCAGCTGCAGTTCAAAGACATGGAAGGCGGGAGAGAAGAGAGGCTGTCCTCCAAGAGGGCAGCTAGAGCCAAATGAGGTTCACACAGTGTCAAGGTGGGTTCTCTAGAGAAGCAAAATCAGTAAAGCTCAGAGAGAGACAGAGAAATTTATCTTAGGAAAATGGCTCACACAGTTATGGAGGCCAGCAAGTCTGAAGTTCCTGGATCCAACATCAAGCTGAAAATTCCTCCCAACTCACGCAGCTGCAGGGGCTGACAAGCTCAAGGTTGGCAGGCAATCTACCGTGTGTTGACTTCAGTGGATGGCAACTCCAAGATCACCAAGTAAAATGGTAGATTTTTCACTCATGGACAGTTGTAGACAGCACAACAGGATCCAGAGCCACAGAAAGTCCTCTCCTTTTCCAAGGATGTCCATGTATATATTAGAAGCAGGCCACACCCCTAGGGTAACTCCCTTTCACCATATTGGCTGCTCAAAGCATATACATCAAAACTCATCATGGGAAGAACCACATGACAACTGCTTAAACTGCTCAGAATCGTGGGCCAGCCAAGCTGACACACAGCCCCAGCTGTCACACCCAGCTTCCCAGATACATCCTGAGGACCACCTGCTTTACTGCAGCTGCCAACCAGAGCAGGCAGTAGGCTCTGGTTGGGCCCTGGGGCGTGCAGGTTTCCAGTGGCTTCCCAGGGACTCCTGAGAATCGCTGGCTTTCTTCTTATTGCTGAGATCATGAGGGGTGGCTCCCCTTGCTCACTTCTTCCAGTTCCCATATTAGGCCTTCCAACCCAGAACACATCCACCACTGGCCTGTGTGTTGCTATGAGGCCAGAAGCTATGCCACTGATGTTTCAAATACCAGCAGAAGCCCCTGTGGTGGGCAGGTGCCAGCAGAGCTTCCAGATTAAAACAGACTGAGAAGAATGGCTTGGTACTTGTACTTCCAAAATTCAGCCCATGACAGTCCAATGGATCAAACGCAACATTCCCTGACTGGTTGGCCTGATGGAGGATGGCATGTTTCGTGACAGAAAGGGCCAATGAGGGAGTGCGAGAAGCATGGTGCGATGGATTGGTCCAGAGGCCTCGCCAATGGACTTGAACATGCTGGCAACTGTGTGATGATGGACAGGTAGCATTCCCTTCTGTTTTACATAAAGTTGTCTTGACAACCTGACAGCAGCTAGCTATCCACCCATCCGTCCATCCACCCATCCATCCAAAATGCATACAGTGGCTTCTGTCCTCCCAAGAGTCCTGACTGTTGTGCACACCCACCAGCTTCCACAGTCTCCCCACCCCAGCTACCCATGTTTCCCTCTCCCCACCTCTCAACTGAGACATGCATTGTGTTCACCACCCCCTCAGCTCCAGGGATGAGTGGCGGTTGGCCTAAGCAGGACCACAGTCCCACAGCCCCTGCTAGCCACAATGATGGTTCAAGAGGGGACCAGAAGTGGAGACTTGGGAGGAGGGTCACTAGAAGGAAGCAGCGAGTGCAAGGCATAATCCTGGTTTCCGAGGTTTGCTGGTTTTGAGTGGCCACGTGGCCAGCGGAGGGGAAAGCCAAATAGTTCTGAGTAGGACTCAAGAGGGAAGCTCTTTCTTCCTCCAGACAGCATGTCACCAAGGGGGCAGGCAACGGAAGTACAAACCAACAATGGAGGAGGAATTGGAAAACTGCCAGGACAGAATTTGAACCCTGGACCCCACCCTGCCTCTGGGTTCCTAATTTACATGCTGTGAAAGTCTGCTTCTGTAGGGTTTTCTGTTACAAGCATAAGCACCATGCCTTACCAGTGTTTTCCCAAAACTATTTATTGGTGGATTTCTCAGCTAAATGTCGTAACAGTTGTTTCTTCTCACTGAAAGTACAAATTTTCAGCAATGCTTGATGTGTGAGGCTGACAGCTTCACCCCACCTGTTTTTCTCTCGGCTGGTGTAAGTCACCAGGTTCTCAGTGTACTGCAGCACCGACTTTAAGAACCTGTTCAGAAAAACAGCACACACCTTTATCCCTTTATCTACTTCACCATGAAATGCGATCATGAGGTTACCGCCCTCAGTGCGTTACCAGGGTTCTCCTGCAGTAAACTCTACTTAATTTTTGTCTACAGAATCAAGAAAAAGAAAGCAACACAAAATGGAAATAGGAAAATACAAGTTAAATAAAAAGAAAAGCAGAAAAACATAAATGCCATCACACTTGAGGGACTGCGGAAAGGGACTTGTTCTCAGGTGCCACTGAGTCGTCCCTGACTCACAGTGACCCCACGCACCAGGGGACAGAGTGCTGCCCAGCCCTGCACGCGCTGTGGAAGCCAGCGCCCAGCCCTGCACCAGCCCCCGACTGCTCTCCCTGGCTGACTGTTAGGTCCTCAGCCCTTTCTTACCAGTCCCTTTAGTCTGGAAGCTCTGCTGAAACCTGTCCAGCATCCTCTAGGACACACAGGCCTTCACTGACAAGATGAGCAGCAGCTGTGCATGAGGGGCATGGGGCAGGGAGTGAACCTGGGTCTCCCACACAGAAGGTGAACATTCTAGCACTGCACTGCTCCATTATAAACTTGTACCAAACCCACACACCTCTTACTCATGTTCTTGAAAATGCCCGTACAGGTAACACTTTGTCCAAGTGACAGAACTTTATTTCAGAAAGGATCTCAGAGGTCATCTAGGTCCAGATAACAGGAAGGAAGGGTGGCCAGTGTCTGACGAACAGATGGACAGGCCTGCCCTCACCAAAGGCCCTTTGCCTGGCACACCTCCAAATGCACACACGGCACCTCCCTTCCCCGTCCACACGGCACACCTACACATCCACACAGCACACCCACACATCCACAAAGCACACCTCGTGTCCACAAGGTGCACCCGCATGTCCACATGGCATACCTCTCATCCGCATGGCACACCCGCACATCCACACGGTTCACCTCCCATCTACGTGAAACACCTGACCACACGGCACACCCACACGTCCACACGGCACACCTCCCATCTACACAGAACACCTCTTGACCACATGGCACACCCACACGTCCACATGGCAAACCCGCACATCCACACGGCACACCTCCCATCCACACGGCACACCTGCACGTCCACACAGCAAACCAGCTCGTCCACCCAGCACACCTGCATGTCCACCTAGCACACTTCCCATCCATACAGCACACCTCCATGTCCACAAGGCACACCCATGCGTTCACACCTCACACCCACATGTCCACACAGCATTCTTCCTGTCCACACACGGCATACCTGCATGTCCACATGGCATACCTCCCATCCGCATGACACACCTCTGTGTCCACCCGGCACAACTGCACATTCACCTGAACACACCAAGCTGCTCTCCTCAGGATAGAGTGAACCATCACTTTACAGGAGATGCATCTGTATGACATTTCTGACAGCCACACCTGGGACATCCACAGCATTTTGGATGGTCACACCTGAGACATCTATGCCATTTCTTATGGTCACATCTAAGACATCTATGCCAATTTGGAGGGTCACACCTGGGATGTCTATACCATTTTGGACAGTCACAACTGGGACATCTATGTCACTTTGGAAGGGCACACCTGAGACATCTGCACAATTTCTGATAGTCATATCTGGGATATCTACACCATTTTTGATGGTCACACCTGGGACATCTACACCATTTCACACGGCAACACCTGGGATGTATGTACGATTTCATATTATCACACCTGGTACGTGTATGCCATTTCTAACAGTCACACCTGAGATGTCTACACCATTTTGGATGGTCACACCTGGGACATCCACGCCATTTCAGAAAGTCACACCTGGGACCTTTATGCCACTTCAGTCACACCTGGATGTCTATGCCATTTTGGACAGTCACACACGAGACATTGACACTATTTCTGACAGTCACACCTGGGATGTCTGTGCCACTTCTGATGGGGTGTGCGACAGACATTGGGGGGCAGAGGCCAGGGAAGCTGCTCAGTGCTCTACAGAGCACAGCATGCACTCTCTCAGAGACTGATGGCCCTAATGTCTTCAGTGCTAGGGTGAGAACCTGCCCTCAAGCCACTGACGAAGCACCTGCAGGCTGTTCTGCTCCTGTCTGAACACCAGGCTCCTTTCAGTATGTGCCAGTGTCATATTTCTACCTGTCATGTCAAGTACTATGGCACATGGTGTGGGCAAAGAGCATGAGCAGAAGCCAACTCAGCTGCCAAGCGTTTCAGGGCAGCCAGCCCCCCAGATGGTAAAGGGGTAGCCACATCCTGCACAGATCTTCACGGAGTATCCCCACACAGCCAACACTCCTGCCCACCATCCACGTGAAACCAGTGGATGTGAGGGGTCATACAAGTGTCACAGAACTCCCACACTCCAAATCTAGGTGGTAAGAAAAGGTCAAGATTCTGAAACTGAAAACAGGCACAAACAGCAAATTTGGTCTGAAATCCTTCCAAGGTGGAGAGTTTCCTTATGGGCCCAGGTTTCTGAATCACCCTAGTGGGCTTGACAGTAAAGGGCCACAACACAGCCCGAGATGACTAGGAAATTACACCTGCACACATCTGGGCACCATCGGCCATCAGACAGCATCCTCAGGCTCTGCCTGCCAAAGTGATTCCCTGCAAAATCCTAATGCAATTTGCACCTCCATGCTATCCCTACACAAAGAACACAGAATTTTGAGAGGAGTCCCACTTAAACCTGTCAAGTTTGTGAATACACCTGTGTTGGGGCCAGTCGTGAACATTTACAAACTTACAGGCACTGAGATGGTGGTAGAGCACCGCAAAGGTCCAATATGGATTTGTGGGAACTAAACTATCACCCATGGGGACAAGCAGCAGGAGTCCAAGTGGTTTTCAATCACCCAGAGTGCGTTTCCTCTGAGCCTGATGTACTCACTTTATATACTGCCGATAGTCATGAGCAGATTTTCCTTGAACAACATGAATATTGACCAATTCCAGAGTGATGAGGAATAAAATCAGGCGAAGGACAGGAGACAGAAGCTTCATACTGAGAACAAACAAGATAAAGACACGTCTTATCAACGTCTCCCCTTCCATGAGGAAAGTGTCCCACCATTGTCTGTCCAGCTTCTCGGAGGAGTGGGGCACACCCCCAGTCCTCTTCTGCCCATGCTGGTCCCCAGTCTGCCTTCTTCACCAGCAGGTCACTCTTTTAGGGAGCATAGGTGGTTCTCCATCTTCGCCCCAAGGCCATGAGTATTCTCATTCATTCATCTTACAGGGCACTTTCTACCTGGACCTGGAAGTCCTTCATTCTCAGCCACTCCACACTGGCTCTGTGTCCATGTGCCTGACCAGTCCATCTCTGTCCCAGCCCAGCCCACACTGGCTCCATGTCCATGCAGCCAACTGGCCCTTATCTAATTCTGTCACATTCTTAACCACCACACACTGGCTCTGTGTCTGCATATCTGACTGGCCCATCTCTGTCCATCATGCTCCCATCTGCCCCTCACTGACTCTGTGTCATGTGTCTGACTGGCCCTTCTCCATCTTTGTCACGTTCCCACCCACCCCACGGTGGCTCAGTGTGCACGTGTCTGACAGCCCTTCATCCCTGTCATGCTCTCCCCAACCCTCACTGGCTTGTCTCCGTCACTTTCTTGCTCCCTGTTTTCTTCCTGGGCCTGGCAGTGGTGAGTAGATTCAAGAGCTACATCTCCATTCCTCATTCTCGTCTCTGCATTTTTAAAACCTCTGGGAAGGGCTATCTACGTCTCCTTATGACAGCCCTCTGGTCCTTCCCACCTGGTGTCCTTTGTCCCCAAATGCCCTCTGTTCCCAGCACAACACCCCAGGTTTCCTGTCACCTCACAGAGTTTCTGGACCTTTCCTCTCAGCTGTCCACTCATACGTGGACATCATCTTTCCTATAACCTGATACTCAGCAAAGGGCATTCATTCACGAGAAGAGAATTCAAATGGCTTAAACCTGAAAATGGGCCCAACATCATTCCAACCAAAAGAAGGTCTGTTTCCCATGAAACTCATAGCAACTTAAAAACACACCCTGTCTCTGGAGGACTGGCCAGTGAGAGGGCAGATGGAGTACCGCCTTTCTGGGAGGTAAGCAGCAGCTTTAGAAACAGAAACCACTTAGCCCAGCTGTCCTAGAAACTGTCCAGAATGGTAATTTAAGGACACAGCCCACTCAAGAGCACGCCAGAATATTATCAAAGACACCATCACAGCTACATACCCACATTAATCTGCTGCTATGGAGCTCTGGTAGCATAGTGGCTAAGACACTTGCCTGCTAACCAGATGGCTGGCGGTTCAA